TTATTATTATTATTATTATTATGTCGACGTGATCAACAAACAAAATTATGAAAGAATTACTTTAATCATGATATATGTATGTATATAGATCATAGATAGATAGAGTAAAATAGGAGAAGAAATATACATATAAAGCCTTTATCTCAATTTCGTTCTCTACATATCTTTTTTTTTTTTTCCTCTCGCCCTTTTTACTCTTCGTTATTCTTCTCTCTCTCTTCTCTCTTTCTCAAGCTTTTGCATTCCTTCTCATACATTCTTTTTGTCTCTTTCTATCCCTATATATAAGGATCTTTATCCCTCTCTCTCTTTCTCTCTCTCGCTCTCTCCATCTCTTTCTCTCTCACTCTCTCTCTTTCTCTCTCTTGCTTCCTCTCTCTCTCTCTCTCTGCCTCTCCCGATCTCTTATAAATATTAACTTAAACAACTTCAGTCTCGTATACCATAGATTACATGCGCTTTTACAGGGTATACCATAGTTATCTACTTCAAACATGTTGACTTCAGGACAAGCTAAAATGCTATTTATATAAATGTCGCACTACACAGCTGACTTAACTATGTACAATATTTATATATCGTATATACGCATATACCAACTCTTCTAGATCCTCTCAAATAAATATTTTCTGGGAGTATGTCGAAATCTTAGATTCACGACAATAATAGACTTGGATGCTGAATGCTCCCTGACTGAGACTCAGAGGATGCTCTCGTCTGGCATCTGTGCTGCGGGCCAGTGCAAATGCAGACACTAATCAGGTTGTGCAGTGTAGTTGCGCTGCAGACAATTTGGCACCGTCTTTGCGCCAGCACAGCTGTCAGTCAGGCCAGGCTGGCTGCCAAAGTGGGCGTGGCATTTTTGAATGTTGCTGTTGTGTGTGGGGATCAACTTTTACTGCAAGTGCAGCTAGAAATTCCATTTGCCGTTCGATTAAAGCCAACTCAACTCAAAGACCTCGTCTAGGAGCTCTGCACTCTCGTGTGGCAGGCTCTTGGGGCAAGTATGCAAATATAGGCAGAGGCAGAGGCTGCTTGGAATTTGCTTTCTCAATGCGAAGCGGAAACTTGGCCCGCTGCATTTCGTTTTTATTGGCAACATGTTTGGCGGGATGTAATTAAAAATAAATGTATGTATGCCATATGGATCGAATATGAATAACAATAAATCGATTGATTTGCAAGGCCGTCGACTGAGTGAGGGGCGCGACGGGACGGTGCGGGGTTAACGTACTCGAAAACCTATCTGGCAACGCTGGCAACTCTATGTATTTACCCAGCCAAAGTCAAGTCCACAGCAAATGCCATGCCAAAACCAAAGCCATTCCAGTTCCAGTTGCAAGTTGCAAGTTGCAAGTTGCAGGTTGCTTGCTGGCTGTTACCTGTTGCTAGCAGGTGGCAGCAGCAACAGGTGTCAAGTTTTGCCAGTGGGAATCGCGTTAATTAGAAATTATAACGGTCTACATATCTGGTTGTCAGTCTCATCAGTTAAGATCTACAAATGCACGAACATAGAAAACTGCTCAAAAAAGAGAGAGAAACGAACAGAAGAAGAAGCAGAAGAAGAAGTAGAATATAATCATCATAATAAATTACATCCAGAAAAGTCAATTAACACGCCGCAAACTGTAGCCAAGCTACTTTAAGGCTTTGATAACAATTCTCACACTTGGCCAAATGTGTAGCAAAGCGAAACCAGTTAAGAAATAACTCAAATATCTCGCCAGCCATCAACTGCGCCCTCAGCTCAGACCTTGTCTGCGCTTCAAGTTAGAGATTCTTTGATTCGGTTTGATATGCTGGCAGTTAGATTGAGCTGGATCTAAGAGTTTCTCTATGAGGTGGCTTAAAGCTCCTTTCGGCTCTAGAAAGCTGAAGCTTTATTTTGGGTGTTAAGCTTACAATATGGTTGCAAGCTACATTGCAAGACACTCTTCCCTCTCTCTCTCTCACTCTCTTTTTCACTCTCTCTCACTCTCTCTCTCTCCTTTATACTTTGATTTAGGAATTCAATCTTAGCTCATTTGGGCAGCTACTAGAAAATATTTTCGTTCTGGAAAAACTTACTCCGAGCTTAAAGTTACAATGTGACTAAAAACTACTTCACAAGTCGTATAAGTACTCTCATAACAAGTTCATTTAGACGTTAGTTTGATATGATTTTGCGAGCTACCGTGGGTGCTCGTCTAAGTCTCTATCCGAAATCCTATTGGTTCTACAAAGCTGGAGCCTTACTCGTCAAGTTAGTTTGAGTCTCCGGTAAAAACATTTTGATTTTAGATAACGGGAGACTAGCACTGATGTTAAACTGTACAAGTTGATCAAAAAGACAGATGGTTATAGAAGCTAGTTTGATATTATTTGGGTAATTTTGGTATGTGAGCTGGCTTCAGAGTCTATTAGAGAAGCCCTGGAGTCTGTCTATGTAGAAGTCGAAAATTTTTCTTCGAGTATACTAAATGATTAGTTTAGGTTAAAAAGTCACCAAAACTACTTTTCGAGACAGTCGAAGCACATTTGGTATACTGGAAATGTAAAATTAGTACTGAAATCATATGTGAATAGTCACATGTGATTATCATATTATATCATATGTGAATAGTAAATTTCAATACAACTCAAACATCCAATTTAAGCTCTGATTTAGTCCACACTTCATGAAAGCTAATGAGCTTTTTCAAGCATCATTTTAGCTGTCAGTTAAGTCATCAAGAACTTTCCCATAGGCCACTGGCTACAGTGAAACTGCCACGGCTAAGCCTTTCATTCATATAACAATATCGACAACTAATCTTGTTAAACTGCTTTACTGCTCCGTTTACAGTTTAGTTTAGTCATAGCTGGTAATGAACTGTGGCCCATGGATCGGCCAGATGGTATGCCAAACATAGTTTCACTGGAGGTCATGTGCGGTAAGGATCACATGGATGTCCACTTGACGTTCTCCAATCCCTTCGAAGGCATTGTCAGCTCCAAAGGTGCGTAAGCCCAGACCTAAACCCAATCAGAGAACGATTTA